ATGGTCACAATTGCCAAAATAGCAATTGATTTCACTTTTGATGGTGTTTTAAGAGGATGGTTTGTTGCTTCTGTAGACTTCTTTGGCAAAGCAATTTGGTTTTGCCTTCTTTTTCTTGGATTTGGGGGTTGGAGGAGCACAGGTAAAGGTTGATGCAATGTGAATAAACTATTGCTTGAAATTGTTGGGAGTCGTGCCATACTTTGAAAAGGACTCTGCATGATCCAAGGCATGCAGAATTTTTTCAGAAAGGTTTGATTATTTGAAGAACTGATTACCTCAAAAAACTTTATCTTGAGGCAAGGGTTAAAAAATGTTGCACAAACAGGTGCTGGTTTCTTCAGGGCCGCTTTGAAGTGGTTGTCCAACTTGTTCATCATGTCATTTGCCGCTGGTATAAGCTGAGTGTGGTCATACTTATACTTGACCTGAATTAAGAGATATTGAATAAATATCAGATTGTAATATGATTATGATTTGATATTTATGAAGAGATGATGACAAAAATACTGACCTTCATCAAACCTTCAATGATAACTGTGTAAATTGGGATCACTTCATGCATTGTAGGATATTGCTTTTGACACAACATATTGTTAGATTTTCTGAGTTGCTTGAGATCACACATCTGTTCCACATACCCCCATTCCAATTTAGAGAGAGTAAACTTTGGGGCTTGACATTCACAATACTGCACGCAGGCTTCTTTAAGTTGAAGTACTTGCTTAAGCATGAAGTATGATTTTCCATTGGTTACATCCACCATACCTGTTGACATGGTCAGTTGACATAGTTTTTTGAGATGTGCTGGGGGCTTCCTCATTGGAGTTGGATGGTGGGCAAAACTGGAAAAATGTGAAAGCCTCTGTGTGTCGCTGACCTTCCTCATCATTGTCTTGCTTGTTTTCAATTCCATTTTCTTTCTGGTTTTCATCTTGAAGATCTTTTTGAAGATCACGCACTAGAGCTATTACATTTGCAAAGTTCTGACTATGTTGCGGTGTTTTTCAAGTGTACATAGCCAGACCATGTATACGACCATAGATTGTACTTGAGTTAACAGAAGTGCTATCAGGATTGTTGACAATATTCATTAAGGATGGAGGGAGGTTATCTTTGTCTTCAAATATGAAGTCTCCAAATAGTTTGAGGCCTTGCTTGGCAGCTAAGTTGATAACATGTGCACAGCATCCCATAAGCTGGTTTTTGGCAAATTTGATATTGGGATCTTGAGACATCAATCAACCAATTGTTGTATTCACACTTGCATTATCAGCTGTCATAGCTGAGATCTTCCAGCCCAAGTTGAATTCAAGGATATACTTGACCAGTATTTCACAGAAGTTATTGGCATCAGATTCATGGGCACCTAGAAACAGGAATTTTCACTCTGGTCAGCAATCTGCAATTTGATTCAGTTAGAAAAATAAAAGAAGATATACAAGTTACCTTCAATATGAGGCATTCCAATCACAATATCCATAAGTTTCCAATTTTTGGTGATGAAGTGGCTGGGGATTCCTAGGAATCCATGATGATTGGGTGACGTCCACACATTCTGTGTGAAGGCAATGTATTCCGCTTGATCAAAGTACTCCAACTGGATGAATTTTTCATAGTGATTAAAGACTTTGCTACAGTACTAAGCTATTGAATGGCAATGCACAAGCATTCCGCTGGTTTGAGAGTGTACAAGTAAAAGGAGGTCTTTGAAAGACTTTCAGTTGACTATTGCATACAGAAGGTTGCAATTGGCAATAAAGTACAGCTATTTCAAAAACAAAAGTGGTTGTCTTGTTTTCTTTTTTTCATTTCCGTGGTTTCCCATCTTTCAGGAACACCACAGAATAGGCTGATGACAGCCTGAGGTTGAATCCCGTTGAATCCTGTTGAACCCAGACAAGCTGTGTTTCTTGCTTGAAGCCAGCTCCACATCCATCCACACACAATTGGCCCATTCTCAAGATGCCTGCTTCTCACAATTCACAGCCTCTTCAAAGTTTTGATCAATCACATCCATATCAAAGAACCATCAACTTAAACACCGCTCAACAGTCTCGTGGTTTGTACAGCGGTACATCTTCAAGCTTCTTCCATCCGGCTCAAGATTTGACTCGAGAAGCACCAACGCCGTATGCACCGGGGCATCTCCCTTATCAAGGTGTCAGCCAGACCGGCTCAATCCCATTTCCAACATCACAACCATTGAACTCCTTTTCTTTCCCTCCACCTCGTTTGAGTGAAAGATTTCAGGTCTTAGGTTTGAATGTTGTTGAAGTTGATTACAAAGGTATGTGTTGTTTTTTATCTCCCCTGTAGATATTCAGTTTGGCACTTTGTCTTCAGATTTGCCGCCCCCACCAGGTTTGAATGGAATATCTCAGGACTTGGGTTTGAATGGTGTCACAATTGATTGTGAAGGTACGTCTTGTTGTTTATTCTCCTTGTAGATATCAAGTTTGACTCTTCATCTTCAGATCGCTCATCTTTGAAAACCACTGAGCTGGCTTTCAAAGTTCATGTTGAGGTTTTTGTACCTGATTAAGGCAATGAAGACGCTCAATTTAGCCAATCACACGTGCCAAGAGGTCAACAAAGGCTTCAGGACCGATTTCACCCACCTACACCCCCCTCAAGAATGACTGGGGCATTTGAGTATCAGTGAATGACAATACCAATCTTCAACTTTTCCGTTCTTTGATTTTCAGCCAATGTGATTTACCCAAGGCAAATATCTCTGAAGCTCTTAACTTCACACTCTCAGAAGATGATCTCAAAGTTACTGGTTGGATCCATGGCCACAAGGGCTTCCTCAAGAAAAAAGAATTTGAAATCATGACTGAGACTGCTTATAACAGTTTCATTGCAGCTTGCCTCAAGGGTCCACAGCAATCCATGCATTTAGATTTTGTACAGGCAAATCCAAAGACTAAAAAGGTAAAGGAGAGCAATGTGAGCTTTTTTTCATCATTCTTGTGATCAGGATTGGGTTTGACAAATCAATGTGCAGGCCAAAAAAATCGCTCAAAATCTTGCTCAACTCAAGCAAAATAAGATCATCAGAAATAGTCCACAAGTTTCCGTGAATGCCGGTTTCATTGTACATCAATTCCTGGACTTCATCGAGATAAAGTGTTGGGTCCGCGGAGATCAAGTCGGCCATGAATTCACATTCTTCATCTGAAAAAGTGAGAGGACGTCCACATTTATTGTAATCTGAAGCACTGCAAATGACAGCTAGAGTAGATTTGTATAGTTGCTTCCATTTGGTGAGGGTGTCCACATGTACTGAAGATTGCAAATGATGTTTGACTTCTGGTCAACTCATACCTTTGGACATTAGAGTGATAGCCTGCACTTTGATGTCGGTGCTGTATTGAGGCATTCTTGTTTTTGTCCAACTGGCAGATTTGGTGAGATGTGGTGAGGTGGGGCTTGGAGGAAGTGCTTGCGAGTGAGATTTGGAACACAGAGGCTTGACCTCAACATCTGATTCCAATCCGGATTAACAGACCAATTGGGTGAAATAAATTAGCTGTGGATATGAAAAAAAAAGAAAAAGAAAACACAACAACCACTTTTGTTTTCAAAATAGCTGTACACTACGCCAAATTGCAAATTTACCATGGAGTTTAGAAAATTGAGTTGACATAGAAAATTATAGAGAAGCTGGCAAGGGTCAGAAAAATATGAAAAAAAAATGGAAGGGCCCTTTGATGAATTCCGGTTGTCTGTGATATTTTTTCATATTTTTATAACCACAATGCATATAACAATACACAAAATATAATATCTTCTGGGCAGAAAATATAAAACCCAACGCACAAAGATATTGAGCAGTCTGGGAGAGAGACAAAAATACACAAAAATATGCATATTGTTCCTATGGTTGAGAGCTTAGATTTGCGTATTTTTTGTATTTTTAGTGTGAAAATTGTTGATTGTACTAACAAAAAACCTCCAGGATTGTCAGATTACGGCCTGTAACAGATATTGGAGGGTATAATTTGAGTTCAACAATCCCTTATATCTTGGTCAATTATCCTCAAGATGATTACAGTTCCTGATCAAAACTACAAGATAACTACAGAAATGATTCAATACAAATTTGATCTTGTTGAGAATCTAAGGAATCATCCATCCCGGTGGTCAGTGAAACACATCATCCGGACATTCTTGATTGCCAAAGACAAACCAGGAATCTTGAAAAGAGCTTGCTCATACTGGGGAATACCACGTGGATGGCCCTCAACTTTGACTGTATTGAATGCTATCAAACGGCTTGCTTGCAAAAAGCGCAAAGGAAAGTTACTTTGGAAAGCGTATATACTTGCAGAGGTACGTATTCAGATCATTATCTCCCAGTTATTTCACATCACTTATCGTCAAATATTGATTACTACATGTAGTCAAAGAAGATAGTTGATGCGGAGGCATCTCGTCGTTGGCGACAGAGGTGGTACCCAGCAAATTAGCCTGTGTGGTCTCTGAAGCCATCTTTCTTCAACATGGACAAGGCTGTGGAGCGTGCCTCCACAATATAAATTGGAATGGGGTTCTTATGGAAACTTATTTGCCATCAATTGTCCGCTGGGAGGCCTTCAACACAACCAGAGGACTCCATTGTTGCCAACACCAAAGACCCGCAAGATATTCATCTCTCTGATAGTGAAAGTTTGAACAATGAAGACATCATCATACAAGATCCTGTAACTGTTATACCCAAGCTAGAACAGAACAGAGATCATGATTCAGAGGCGTCGACAGAATCAAACTCAAGCTCAACCAAGAAACTTGAAACCAAGTGTCTCAATTGTGGTGGATCCAAAGATGATGTCATTGTGGCTGCTCACTTAGATCAAGAAGAGTTGGATGAGGAGGTGCTGGCCTGCAAAATGGAAGAAGAAATCTATGAAAGGACGCCATTCAATTTTGCTAATGCACAACATCAATAACTGATATCTTTTAAACCTCTTCAGGTTGCAACCACTGTCTGTTTTATGATAGCTTATGTAAACAATTGTGCAATCAATGGTTTCCAGCTTGAAAACTCCGTCACCTTTTTGGCAGCAGGGGAAAGTGAATGGGTTCATCACTATCTTCATGCTATTGGCCTGACTGTGTTGCGCTCTTCTGCCCTACGTACAATCAGGCGGCTGGCTAAAGTAGCGCTGTCAATAGTTCAAGAAAAAGTTTTGATGGAATATACTATACAGCCCTTTCTGGTGTTAGACAATTTTGACATTCAAGAACAGATCCATTACTCTAGATTAGAGGCCGACTCATGTATGTTCCATGGAACCTATGGATATCTTCATTTCTTGTCGGATACAGTTTTATCACACAAAGAGGTTAAGCCTGGACACTTAAGCTTGGATAGTTTTGTGGAAGCTATGCATCAAGCAGAAACCAAGGAAGTTGATGTTAAAACCTTTCTACCAGACAAGAAAGCTTGGGCTCAATGGGAAGAACCTACCAAGGCTCAACTTTCTCAGGCTTACTTGGATTATATTATCACCAACAACCGAGACATCATTCCAGAAAAGCAGCCAAACTTATCACGGACTTCACCCGCTGTGGAACCTTTGCCAGTCAAAAAGGCTGATGTGATGATGTTGCCTTTGATGGACTTATATTCTGGTTTGGCCAAAGGTGTCGGACAATTTCTAGACCACATCGCTTCTATCACTGGCCGGCCTCTCAAAGATCATCCTCATGATCTGCAAGTCGTTGAAGGAGACGTTGGGACTTGCATCAGCCTGGAGAGTTGTCGATCCAAGCTTCAGCCAGCGGGTAGAAAGCACGAGAGTATGCTCAATTACCTTACTATACCAGGTGCAGCGCACACAATGTGGAATATAGGATACTGGTACATACTTGGTGGGTGGGGTGACGCTGCAGATGACAAAGACATCCCCTTTTCAAAGAGCTGGGAATCACTCGCAGGAAAGACTGAACGTCCAGCAGCCAAGAAAGACTTTAGCCTGATCATGCGTATGATCAATCACACTCATTTTGCCACGATGGTGTGGTGCTTAAAGTCAGTTGTCTTTTTTCATTTACAGCTGTTTCCTTGTCTATATTTCATTGTTGACCGTTCCATCCTGATGCAAACAGTGAGGTGATTAAGACGCAGTCACCTAACCCAGATCTCTTGGACAATGCAACAGCTAAGTCAATCATTGAAGAGACTCATGCAAAGTACTTCACCAAGAGCTCTTGCAAAGCAGCTAAAAAGGACAGTGATATTTGTGGCTATAATTTACGCCTGCGTCTACGAGATCTTGCCTTGTATGTTGAAGCAGATCAGGCCACAAAGGCTGGTGATATTGGCCAACTGATTTTGATGTGGAAGCGCTGGGCTGTGATGTCTCATGGCACACCAGGCCTCTCTCACTATGCTCAGCATCCTCCCCGGCTCATTTTACTACTTTAGCATTATTTACCTCCTGGTCTGGCACATGTTATAAAACATTCTTTGTTGATCTTGGCACGAGGTGCAGCTCAAAGATTTGAGCCTAAAGACTTACGTCTTGAGCGTAAGATATGGTGGTTGAAATACTTCTTCAACAATGTGGTATGTACCTTTGATCTGATTAATGTTTCTCATATCAAAGGTTGCTTACTGGTATTTTTTTGCATCCTGTAGGGCTCAGGAACCAAAATTCAAAGGCTTGCTGGCAGGTACTCCCTCAACATCAAACTGGTAAATTTTAATAACTCTTCAAGAACTGAGAATGGTGTGAGTATGTATAGTGACAAGCTTCTATTTACAGTTTCAAAAATTGATGGACCTTCTCAAAATCAAGGTGGGTCTGAATTGTATATATCAAACTAAGAAGATATATACAACCAAGAAGACAGTGCAATCCTTCATCCAAATGGACAACAGAACCTTCTCAACCTTCCCCTAAACCTGATCTTTTTAAGACAGGTTTCCAAAAATTTCAAGAAATTTTCTATGATGAGTACACCCACAACCAGCACTCCCGTTATATATGGGGAAGCACCCAGACTGAAAATGGCCCAAATCCAGTTGACGACAATGAAGCTACAGATGTGCCCAATGATCCACCGGGTCCGTCATTTCAGGACCCCGGATAAGTCTTATAAATGACAGGGATGGATAATTGGTCAAAACCTCCTAATTCATACCTCTTTTTTTGTTTTTTTGAGGCCATTAATTCCTGTTTCATCCCTAACCTAAAAGCCAGGTTTTTAAGAGTTTTGGAAATTAATTCCCCCACATCCCTAACATTGGAAAGCTGGTTTTGGAGAATTTTTGGGGACTTCAATTTTGTTTCTAGAACATTGGAAAAGGCAAATAATCTTGACGTGATTCTTGTACCTAGATCAGCTATTTCAATGTACAAAATTTGTTTCAACATGGGTGAATACTCCTCAGAGTAAAGGGAAGTCAGAAAAAATTGATCTTTGAATGAATGAAAGCTATGTCCCTTGTGCACAACTCAACTTGCATATGAGCAACTTGTGTAAACCCTTGTTGAATGTGAATTTCTGTTTGTACCTTTCAAGGTTAATGGGGAAATAACTTATGAAATGGGATATTAATCATGCTGTTCATTCATGGTACATCAGTATCATCTGAGAGGGAGATTTTTGTCCAACTGAGATTCATTCCTCCACATCCCTAACATGTGACCAGGACCGGGGCGGATAATTCCTTTTTCATCCCTAACATAGCAAAAATTGGAGGGTCTGATTCATTCCTTTTTCATCCCTAGGGTTTATAGGACTTATCCGGGGTCCTGTCATTTCACTTATCACATAGACATGCTAGAATTATTTACACTAGAATTTGTTGTACCAGTTGGGGCAATGGAGCTGTGATTCATTAGCCATTAGTATCGCTGGTCAACCGTGGATCAATATTTGTATTGAATTGTTGTGGTGCAAGTGAAATAATGGGTGCACCGGATATATTCCCATTGGACACCTCACAGTCATTATCAGCGTCGTTTTGTGGTGGTGCAGGTGGATTCTTTGGATGTGAGGGTGGCTGTCCATCAAGTTCCGCAGCTGCAGCATCTCTTTTCGGTTTATCAGTCTTCTCCTTCTCCCATTTTTTGTTTGCAGCAGCAGTTCATGCATTATTGAGTTGAGTAATTACTTTCTGATGTTGTGCATAGATATTGGAGCGTTCCCACTTCTTGATGCAATTTACAATGCAATCAAACATACCATCCATTGCCTTGCTTCCAAAAATCCCTCGCAGTGAAACCCCTCGAGATATTATGTCTGCATTTTTTGTGATTGGCCATGCATGCTTTTCCTTATCAAATATGTCTTCGCAGTCCAATTCCATTTCATATTCTTCACATTCTTTGCTGTATAGAGTATTGAAATCCGACATTAATTGTGACACTAGTTCCTTCATGATGATCATTGATCTGATCTGATCTTTTGGTGGGCATGTCAAAATCATTTCGAGATTGGGTCCCTTGTCAAGAGCTGGATTTGGGCAGCAAATGTTGTGACTGAATGTCTCATCAAAAGTGCCGGTTATTATATCACTCATATTGTTGTTTGATGCATGGTGCTGCTCATTGATGAATTTCAAAGCCATTTCTGGCTCACAATTTGAGCATAGACAAGACTGGAGATTGAGAGCCTTCTGTCAAGCCACCTCTTCTATGTAATCCTTGTCATCAAAGCTAATGGGTATATGACCAACACTTCAAAAATAAAATCAGACTTTTGTCAAATAGATGAGTTGAAGAAAATTGTACTCACTAGTTGTCTACAGCCATTGCTACTCTGAGACAAACTGGGGTTATTGCAAGCTTGTCCATCCTATTGTCATCTGACATATCTTTGGGAGGACCAAAGTCATTCGGCTTATTCTTTGCCCCAGCACCCAAACGTTTCTCTTCAACTAAAAGGATACCAACACCAGGCCGACCATCACGACCACACTGCCCAAACATTTGCACCACCGTTGCGGGATCCATCCTTCCCATAACTATGACTCGGTGTACTAATTTCCAATTTTGGCCAAGACCTAACGCCATTGTACAGCACATGATTGGAAAAAGTGATTTGACAAAATGCTCCTCGTGATCTGCCCTATCATCTGGTCCTGTAGCTGCATGGTATTGACGCGCGCAGGTGCTCATACCATTCCGGGAATTTTCAGGCTGGCCACGCGCTATGTTGACATGAGTTAAGGTCTCTGCAGTTCCGTCCTGGGTGCCAGAATAGATAAGTGTTGGGGGAAGGTTGCCATTGGGAATCAAACAAGCATCACCGAAGAACTGTTTAAGATCCTGTGCACTCCTCAGAGGGTGCTTCAAAGTTATTCTAATTATGCGGATTTCTTGTCAAACTAGTTCAGCGGTTTGTGACTTGAGGTTATGGTTGCCAAGCCGTAAATTCTTCTTAATTGCTTCCATAGCTTTGGGCCAACAAGTAGCAGACATGAGCAAAATGGGAGCGTGGTTGGTTGCAAGAAAGCGTCCATATAGATTCCCGTAGCTTGGCCTAAATACTGCAATATCTTGGAGTTTTTTGAAGGTGCTCATAGTTTGCGTGATTCCACTTGCTACCAGCCCCCAACAGTAGATAAGGTGGGCTTTGTCGACAACTTTCAATACCAATTGTTTTTGGAAAAGCGGGTTAAAATATAATTTTGTGAACATCAGGCTGTTGAGGAAGATCTCCGGACTCTGAGACAACCAATCATGTCATTATTTTGTGGCACACAGTATTGTGAACAAATGATAAGAGCTCACTAAGTATATAAACTGATACTTTCCATCCAGAATCTCTCTGCAAAACTTTTTGGAGAAGGTTTTCTTTGTGATGTATACAGCAGTGAAACCCACCACAATTTTTTCTTCAACCTATATTGTTTGAAGAAACCAAATGTAAGCATAGTGAATCATGAGATCATAGGATAAATATAAAACAAGTAAAGAGATACCTGATTGTTTCCTAGAGCATCTAGCGGATTCATTATCATCACCATTGCCTTACTAGAACGAGGATATGTGGCAATAAACATCTTGGGTACCTTGGATTTTCCAAATCCAGTTCCAGCCCAAAGAAAAGTGTTCCAATGCTCAATAAGCCAAAGCACACATTCTACTTGCAATGGACGCGGCTCAAAACCGTAGTGCTTGTGGAAGTTTGTTTGATTAGAATCTTTGTATGGTTGTGACGCTGGCACGAGGATCGAGCGTGGTCCATTTCTCAGGAAACCAGCGGATACCCCGAAAGCACAAGAGTTGTGAGGAGTGATGAGTAATCATCAGGGAACGGTTGAGCGCACCGACTGTCGCCCTGAGATGAGACTTTCCTCGAAGAGGTTGTGTCTACCATCTCACAAGTTCTCTCTCGCACTCACGATCCCTCTGAGAATCTTCCACCGCTTCCTCTCTCTCCCTCATCCGCTTCAGTTTCCCCTCTGCCTCGTTGTATCACTACGAGCCTTTTTCGAACTGTTACACTACAAGCCTCTTTCGAACAACGAAACATATACGATGAGATCAAGCAGACGTAACTTAGGATTGAGACCAGAGTATAGTCCGGAACCAACACCACCGAACTCAGATATATTAGTACCAGATTCAGAAGGTAACTGGAATATCGAAAATACTTTAGAGGAAGAAGAAAGAATTAGGAAAGAAGATGAACAAGAAAATCGATTGAATGAAGAAAGAAGCGAGGAAGAAATTGATAGTTCAATTGAAGAAATTAAATTGATAAAGAACAAATCAAAAATCAAAGATATAAACTGGTCTTCTGAAGATGATTCATCCTCATCAAGTTCTAAAGAGAAAACGATAAAATTAGACCAATGTAAGCAGAACGTTTCGTAGATTTATTCCGAACTGTCGATATGAAAGCTTTTAAACTATAAGTTGTGATATATTCCAACAAAAAGCAGAAACAATCGTGATGTATTCCGATTTAATCGTGATATATTCCGATTTATGTTTGATACCAATCGTGATTTAATCCGATAGTTATATTGAACAAAACGAAAAAGTTAAAATTTTTATCTGATGGTTATGAATTGCGTTTACAGCGACTTTGATAGATAAAGCTTATAAAGCTTTAGATTTAGGTGACTCAAAGTTAGCGAAGAAGTTGTTATTGAAGATGAAAGTGGAAGAATTGATAAATACTACGAAATCAACATCCGATAAAGCGAATCCAATGTCCAAATACAAAAGTGGAAAGACAGCAAACAACACTTTAAGACGCTTCACGGATTACTGGGACAACCACCTGAAACTGATGGACATTCATTTCCCTTTGACTATATTCAATTCTGAATGGATAGAATTTGATAGTTTGATAGCAGGAAAGAGTATGTCGAAGAAGAAAGACAAACCGACAGGACAACCCGCCAAAAATGAATGGTGGCTATCTTTCGCTGATTGGACTAGAGCGAGAATTTTAATGGTGAAATACTTAAAAGAGCAATACGGACATGAAGCCTTTGCAAAAGATTTAGAAAAGCACTTCGAATACGTTCAGCAATTAAGTGATAGACATGGATGGATAGTCGCATTTAGATATGACATAGCTGTAAGAAACGATGTCACTTGTAATCGTATCGATGGAGCTCCAGGCGATCCAAGCGAAAGACGTCAGGAATTTCTAGATGACGCGATAGCTAGAACCGCCTTCTTACAAGCGGTAGCCCGGAGGATCTGGGGATGGCCTGATACAGCTCTGAGAGTCCTGAGAATCCTGCCCTAAGCCATGCCTCATGGGTTTACATCATATAAATCAAATTACCCATACTCTCAGATATTTCACTTACAGCCGTTCCCGAAAAGGTTGCTTTTTTGAATTTTTTTTTGGGGCGGTTAGGGCTGTTAAGATCAGATAGGGTCAGATTTTACTCAGCTTTTGTATCAGACACCACCAGATTGGAGATCCACCTGTAATCTTGTACGTCATCCCAGCCATCCCACTCCACCACCCTCTTGTGTTCTTTTTTCTCTCGATCATTAATCCAACCTCGCCTTCTTTAGGCAATAAGTTTCTTCCAAATGGGTCAAAACAAAGATGACGACGAGATCGAGATCAAGAATCCTAGACAAGGGCGATTGGCTGGTCAACATGCAGCCCTTCGCCAACAAATCCGTAATGATCCATCCCATTGCAATATGGATCAACGTCTTAATCCAACAGCAACACACTTGATGGCAGCAAATCAAGCAAGAAGCACGTCAATTTTCTTCTTCACCCTTGTCATATTTAGACTTTGTTCTAGCTGACCATGATAAATTTTCATTCCGCCATCCAGATGCGACTCACTCGATCTACGAGGCGCGCGAAATCCGCCGTGAGAGCTTCATGCAGGCAGCAGCACAAGGCCGTGAAAACTTTGAGGATTGTGAGCCAATCCATTTCAAACTGTGTCTTTTTGTTGTATGAATACTGACCTTTTTTAACAGCTCATCGTGATCCTATGCTGGACCATCATCGCAGCACTGGAAACTTCAGTAGTGCATTGGCCGACCCTCGACAATGCGGAGCTCAAGCTCAATCCAAATATCACCCTGAGTGTGGCATCCTTCAATCCGGTTCAGGATCTATGACCAACGATACACCAGTCTGGGATTTCAACCCACCCAATCGATCTCAACCCCGTAATCCTCATATCATACCGAGTCAGACTTCAAATGAGCTGCCGATCAAGATGTCAACACTTCGAGTCTTTCATGAGGCCTATCTACATGGCCCAAAGGATAAACCGAGCGCATCAACTAGCAGAGCTCCGTCAAAACAAACCCCTGAAAAACTCGGATGGAACTGTGACAAAACTAAAAAGGAAGATACTGGACCCAAGCATTACATCACTGTTGATTTGAATCATTCATCTCCTCAGAAAGTCATAGAATTGATAGTTACATCCCTTGACCGAGTACTACCCAAGCTTGGTACTTATCTTTTCAATGTATCTGAACCCCAGTCCGTCTCTTGGCTCGGTATCACTCTTACTCCAAAATCTTACATCCGCAAGCAAAAGTACAACCTTCACAATAACACAGAATGGAATGATTTCAAGAAACTATGTATCGATTCCCAACCAAACTCCGTTGGACTTCTAGCTCAGATGGCCAATCCCAAACTCCAGGTTGCTGTAGAACGTAGGAGAGAGAAAGTCAGCGGCTATATAGGCTCATGGAATACTCAACAAGCGATTGCTCAAAACCAGCCTGGTGGTTTGGCAAATTCACCGCCAACTAACCCTGAACACTTACCTTCGCGTGTTACTGCTGAATTAAAAGAGATTCTAACTAAAAACGGCACTGAACAATGTCTACTCAGACATCCTACAGACTCCAAGAAATGGACAGTTATGACGCCTCGCAAGATCAAAATCTGGGTCGATGAGATTGTAAGTTGATTTTTTTGATATCATTTACTGTAATTTTGCTCACGAGACTCCACCATATTCAGATAGCAGCACGTAAAGAAGGTCGTAACAATATCACCGTAGACATTCCACCTCCCTTACCGTGCTTCAAGACATTCATCGGTGGAAGACTTCCTCCAGGCTATCGAGAGTTTCCAGACAATCCCCCACCAGCTGGATTCATGGCTGCTGCTCCAGCACCTATAGTACAAAACGAAGTCACTCTGATTGCCCCAGCTCAAGTAATTGATGACCGTATCTATCAAAGAAAGTACTCTGGAACCTTTGAAGAATTTTTAGATTATGCTGATTTTCCTGAAAGCGATACCAGCTTGAGGGCAAACTTAAATACAGGGCATTACACTCGTTGGAGCGATCTCAAGCCAGGTCCTGATATGAACATTGCTGAATTAAAGCTTATCGGAATCCCTCCAGGCGATGCAAGTCATCTCCTTTCTAGTGCAGTTAGGTACGAGAAGTTTTTGATGGAAAAGCTTGCTGCACTGGATGCGCAACAGCTTTGATTCATCAGTGCAATCTGCTTCCATTTCTCTCAGTTTTTATTTTATCTTTTATTTAGAACGGCTTTAATCTATTGCATTCCTCCTGTCTACAATGTTCTGCTTTGATAGCTCGATTTTTTGTTCGTTCTTTGTTTGGGTTTCTTCTGCTTTGATAGCTTGTCTTTTTGTTTGTTCTTTGTTTGGGTTTCTTCTCCTTTGATAGCTCGTTTTTTTCTTTGTTCTTTATTTTGTTTTCTTCTGCTTTGATAGCTTGTTCTTTTGTTCGTTCTTTATTTTGTTTTTCTTCTGCTTTGATAGCTTGTTCTTTTGTTCGTTCTTTATTTTGTTTTTCTTCAATCTCTCATTAGTATTTGCTTTTGATCTTATTAGCGTCTGGCTCATTTTCTTTGTAATCAAAAGTACCAATAAAAAAGTTTTTGCTTGGCTTCCAATAACCAAAGCAGTGAGATTGAGCCAACACCACGCATACATAAAGGCCATGAAAGACATTCGAATGAACATTTCAATTTTTATTATTTATATCAGAATGTCAACCTCAATAAACTTGCTTAGATATGTCAATCAGAAAAAGCAACTTTAATGATTGGCAAATAGAAACCTAATGGTGCTCTTAAGAAGACTGAAGGAGCATTGCAAATTGTATTAGAGCAAATAAATGACAACATCGTGTCTTTTCACATACAAAGTCACCAAACAACATCCAGTACAACTGCCATCATACTAAAATTCAAAGAAAATACACTGCTCTGACTAATTGAAGTTCACCAAAAGATCTTGATTGATATAATCATGATTTAGATTTGAACTATGAGGTAATTTACAATGAAGGGGTACATTTTGATTCATTCATTTGAAATAAATTTCCGAGGATAAGTCTTGAGAGACTGGTCAAGAGTGTGGTGTATGAGTCGATTAAAGAATTGTTTTATCAATCAAAGGAAATTCATTCGATGTATGATCAGTTTATGAAATATGATCAGATCTCATATTGAATGAACTTACTTTTCAAAGATATACTCCATGGTAAAGAGAACGGATGAGCTCGGGTGTCAGTGCGTTCTCACCATGATGATAGATGACCTCTGCTTCCTCATCCATCGTCATGTGTTCTTGAAGTTCGCCACTCCTTCGAAGGTGAGCCTTGATGATATCGAAAGATTTCTCGATTGGATTGTACTCGGGGCCATACGCAGGTAGGTAAAGTAATCGTACACCAAATTGATCGCACAGTTCTTGAATATTACCACCATGATGAACCGGTGCGTTGTCCAAAACAAGGACACTGTTTTCAGCTGGGTAAGGATTCATCATAGGAAGCTGGTATGGAAGACGCGAGATATCAGATTATTATCAAAGATAAAGATAATATGCTGATGGTACCTACCACATGGTGCGACAAGAAGTACTCCAAATCTTCCCGAAGAATTGAGCCTTCCTGAATAATCATTCCAAGACAACCACTCAAACAGATGGCAGGGAGTAACGAGTACTTTCTTGATTGTAGAGTCCGAGGTAGACGTCGTGTACGTTGGCCTCTTGGTGCACGAGCTTTCTGTCGGTAAAGTCTGCGAGCTGCGAAAGCACTCTCATCTGTTCAAACCCAAGTCAGTTCAAAGTTGAATAAGAAAATATGACAATTGGTATGCTTTCTTAATGTGCGATCTTAGAGTCATGAATAAATACATTCAAGACAACGGTTTGTTCAATTCCACCGAAACCAGTGAGGTTACACACCAGTTGTAAATCCTCACTGGTTCACAAGCTGATCAGACCTCTGATCAGCGTTGCTGATGGAATGTGAATTTGATCCTGTTGTCTCAAAGTGTATTTATTGACAATTCTAGGATCACACATCAAGAAATATACAAATACGAAATACGCTTACCAATGAAGACCAAGCACAATGGATCAATTGATCCAACTTCATACAGATACCTGCCTACTTCTTTGGGGTCTTGATTTGGGTGGACAGTTTTTGCCACCTTCAAGGTTAGACCAAGACGATCGCGTACCTCACGAGCTAAAGCAGTGATGGAGATGTCTATACCTCTTTCAATTGAAAGTTGGTGTGCAAGCTCGTCAAGGTAGATAGTCGGTTCAGTATCAATGGCGTTCTCGATAAACCTGCGGTGCTCGTTTGATAAGACAGTCGGCCGGCCACGAGGATCGTAGAAATCTGGATCTGAGATGACTCGCCGAGTATTGTTGAATAAAGCTAGCCATCGAGCAAGTGAGTCTTTGGAGACTTCCAGCGTAAGATCAAGATTGATTTCGTCTAGTGTCTGTCCACGGAGATGCTTGTGGATGACAATGAGTTTGATATCGGGCGAGTACAAGACAAACCCCATCGTGGGTGCGGAGGAAACCTATGAACAAAAAAATGAACAAAAGAATCAACAGCAGAACAGGTGACCCGGTAAAGTTGAGAGCAAAAACGAACCTGGAGAACAAGCCTTCGATCGAGAGGAGGAACTGGAGAAAGCGATCCAATCGGTGGATTTGTTGGTTGGTGGATCGGCTGGCACTGTGGTATGATCGTATGTGTATTGTCAACTTGTTATGGGCAATAATATGTAAAGTACAACCCTAACAGCCCTAACCGCCCCCAAAAAAAAATCAAAAAAGCAACCTTTTCGGGAACGGCTGTAACACCTGATGGCCAATACGTTTTGACCATAAAGTCCAGAGTTACGCACCGCTGGCCCATTTGTGGGAGCGTAACAGTATCAGTCTTATCCTGAGACTCACTCGCTCTGAGACTCTCTCTGAGACTCTCTGAGCTACAGATGGCTTTCTGTACACCCGTCATACAGTGTGGTCAAGAGTGGTGGCACTCCATACATGGTTCATTATTGATTTGTTTCTTCATCCTAAAAATCTTGTCATTTCCTCATCTGACATGAATGTGACCATGATCGATCGGTCCAATTTTTACTCGGCCACACAATCAATGTAAGAATGGATGATAGAAAGATAAATTGAAATTTGAGGTTTTGTGTCATTTTCATGTTCAATGTGATCAGACTCAGAGCGACTTCAAGATGAACTTTAATAATCTGTTCCTCAGCATTTCCATCCTATATTGTAAGCTCAGCTTCTAATCTCAGAATTGAAAAACAAATCCAACTTGGCATCTCCCTCTTATTGGCCAATGAAGCTAATCTTATAAGTTTTCACAATCAAATTCGACCGTTTGATTATCTGGCTCATTACCTTCTATCATTTTTACTGCCACTTGAAATGATATTTTCAAAGCTCTCGATCCTCGTAATGGCTCTTGACCTTTATGTTCATGTGGCTAATTATCTTAATCTTCTTTATATCATTTCTTTTGCTTTACTCGATTCGCGTCTCGGTGGGTCTACTTTTCACAGAGCTTATGCGACTTCTTCTCACCCAACCACTTGATTTGATGTTTTAAACAAATTAATGTGGGTTCCTTTTTCTTGACTTGGCCTTTGCTTCCTTCAAAAAACACCTTTGTAGACGCCCGGAATTTCAGAGAATAAAAAACGCGCCACTCGAGAAGAAATTGTACTATCCCTGTATGTGCCAGGTATTGTCTCAGGGAGTCTCAGTGAAAGACTGATACTGCAACTCTCCGCCATTTGTGGGACTGCGGTGTCATCCATGTGATACGTTGCCCTCACCTCGGTGCCTGCCCCGATCCACCCGGGGTACGTCTCCTCCTCGTGAAGACGGGCGCCCTGGATTCACCTTACTTCATTCATAATCATCAACTTCAACTTCAACACCACCACCGTCCATCATACCCACCCTCAATCCCAACATGCTGTTGCGCGACTTCGTCGACCTAATGACCCGCGATTCACCTCGACTCTCTGCAACCCTGAGTGTGGCAGACTTTGTTCGGTTTGTTTCCCTCGCCGGCGAAGTCCAACATCGTGCGGGACAAAGCGTACGGTTGACACCCAATCGAAACACTCTCCTACCTTTCCTCGAACTGGCGCTCTCACCTCATTACCCACATGACCTGTTGCCTGACTTATGGCGGCTGTCCTTCCCCCTGTTGGACGCCTCCCGAATCAACACCTCAGCTGCTATCCGGGATTTCGGTCTACACCCTGAGCTTTTGGGTACCAAAATGCCCGAACGATTTTTACGTGCACCAATGTCTCACTGTACCCTATGCTCGCGTGACCACTCTTTTGCGTTACACGTCCACTCGTGTCTTGACGGCTACCTTTACGATATTGATGGCGTCCATGCAATTCAAACAGTGATACTCTGTTGTTCAAGTAAGTTCGCCTAATTTTCCATATTAGTCATATCATAGCCGCATATTAATTTACATATTACCAGACAAAGCATGTGGAACCTTCTATAGACCCAGTTATTACACTCGAGACGACCTACGAATCTACTACTCACAGGAAATGGCTCGCAATACGACTTTCCTCCACATCCACTGTCATTACTACATGACAACCCGTATGTCTTACATGCTTCGGGTGCTTCAGATGTTAGCCCAGTCAGTTTGGATTCAAATCACCGCATTAATTTATCGATTGTTTCCTGACATCCGAGTTTGCCAGTGTATCACACTTCAATCTGGTGAATTGGTATGATCAAATCTTTGTAGATGACACCCCCGTCCATAAATTTATCCAAGACCAAAGCTTTACCCCGTCGATGTCCGAGGAAGTTTGCCGCGATGGCCTGATCCTTCATTCATTAATGAATCATGCTGACCGCAGAGGGGTACAGCTCGCAGTAAACTCGAGTGGAAACGACAACATAAGGTTCGACGCCGCCATCGAAGAACATCTGAA